ACGAAACAAAAAAAACGCTAAGAGCAACAAAAAAAAAAAAAGAAGAAATAAAAAAAAAAAATTGGAATAGGGAAAGTGTATGGGAGAGAGGCTCGCGTTGTTAGAGATGAGGGTTTTATTGTCGAGCGGAAGACGGCATACGAGGTCCTCTTTTGACTGGAGGTACGACGTGTGCTCTTCCGATGTAAAACAGTAGGAGAAGCACGCGCAGCGGCCGCAGCATCCGCGTAGTACCTGCCGCTTTTCGCGCATTTGCCTGTCCCACCATCCCTTGAGAAGTTGGTTTAGGCTGGAGGGCGTCTGAGAGCCCCAGTCCTCGGATGTGTGAGTGGACGGCTACGCGCTCTACGCGAGCCAGTTCGGTGACTTCGGGGGGAATGATTGGAGCCGCCATTTTGTTCGACGAGGGTATGAGAAGGGGTATTCTTGTCGGGGGAAATGATGACAGGAAAGGGGTTGGGGGTTCCTGCACGGCGGACGGGATGCGTAGCGGAGTTTTCTCGACTGGAAATGTTGAAGAACTCGAGAAAAATCCCTCAGCGCGTCACCCTCCTTGAGGCGGCGCGGCCCCTGTAGCAGCAAACTCGCAATAGCGCCACTGCGGTTGCTGCGGATCGCAGCTTCCGAGGGGGAAGTCACGGAAGCCTCCGTCTCGATGCTGGGGAACGGTAAGTGCGGGGAGGCACAGGACTCCTCAGCGTATCGCGCCGCAACAGAAAGACTCGTAGCCTATTTCTGTTGCGGTTGCTGCCGCGGAGGCCGCTCCAGATAAAGGCCAGTTTCTGTGTTGGGGAGGTAGACTGTTATTGCTGCGGGGCCTCTGGGATGGCGGAGATGCCACAATCGCACCTGAAGGGGAGAAGAAAGGCCATGCAGGAGCCTGAAAACAGTCGTGAGAACAATAATAGCGCATTTTTAATACCTGTGGTGCATGCTTTCGCGGCGTACGGCAGAAGGGCAGATCGGGGGTTCCTCCTCCCCCTTTGGTGCTGCCGCTGCAGCGGAGGCCCCCCTTGCCTGGGGGCTTTTCCTGTTTGGCTGTGGCAGGATCTTCGACCCCGCCATAGGCACCCTAATTTTAAGGCTGAAATGCTTTCAAGACTTGCATGCAAGCAGAAGGTACGGTCCAACTCCTTAGCCGTCAAGGGGCCCCTCTTCTGCGTTCCCACCCGGGAGGCAGGGGGCCCCCTGCCTCCCGGGTGGGAACGCAGAAGAGGGGCCCCTCTGCGACGTGCAGGCCTTTTCCAGCGATCCAAGCGCCCAAAACGGTTATTTGCATGCGCTGGTGGGTATTCGGGAGCTTCTCGCCCAGATGCCTTTCTGAACACGGCTTACACTTCTCTAGGCATCCGAGCCTCCTCCCCAGGGGAAGCCTCTTCTCGGAAGCAACTCTCCCCCCCCGTGTTGTTGAAGGTTTGGGGAGAAAGGAGGAAGCCCTTTGAGGGTGTCTATGAGTGTTGTGCGGGCGCTGCCAGCGATGCAGAGCGTCTCATCAGCGGCAGTGCCTGCTGCTGCTCGGCGTGTCGTTGCACCCCCCGTTGCTTCGCGCCATCGTATGCCCTCAATCCTAACTGCTGCCGGCCGTACGGCAAGGCTCCCTGAAGCAGCAGTCTTCTCCGCAGCAAGCCTTTCGGCGTGGCTCGCAGTAAAGCGGAGGTATGTTGGCGGCTCCAGACACTGCAGTCCGTTGGACTTGTCCCTTCAGCGCGCGCCTGCCTATTCAGAACAGCAGCGACACGGCAGCTTAACAACTGCTGCTGCTTCTGCCTCAGCGCATGCTGCAGCCGCTTCTCAGGTGCCTCCCCGCGTACCTCCCGGACAGGAGTGCCACTTGGCTACAGCTGCCACTGCAGCCCGCTTCGCGCTGCTCCGCCAACTGCACGATGCGGCCTTCTGGCGGGAGTTGGCAGCAGCGGCAGAAGTCCTCTTGGAAGCCCTTGCGATGGGATGCTATACTGAGCTGTCTGACAGCAGGAGCAGCACCAACAACAGCGGGAACTGCCAAAGGATAGCACGTGGCCTATCGGCATGTCGGAGCAACGAAGCTGCCAGAGATATCCTCCACGCGTTGACAAGAAAGGCTCAGCAGCAACGAGCGACTGGACTGGAAGCAGCGCCATCAGCAGCAGAGGGTTGGAATATTGATACACGGTATATTGGCTTGTCTCTGCCTGTTCTGATCAACAGCTTTAAACAGATGCGCGTCTACCCGTCCGGGCTTTTCGCGGCAGCCGAAAGAGCAGCCCATCTTCATCTGCATGCACTGTCCCTGCATGCGCTTTCCCTTCTTTGCTGCTCGTTTGCCGCCGCTTCCGCAGCGGCCGCTGGTAAGGAGGCTGCTGCTTCACCATCGGTCAGCTTCATGCTTGCAGTAGGAAACCACTGTGCAGAAGCAGCAGCTGAGACAGGCCCTTCTGCCACCCCCGGAACCTTCGCTGCCAGCAGCAGCTCCCTTTTCGTGCTGCCTCCAAAGCTGCTCGCCGCTGTAGCTGCTACCGCTGCTGCTGCTGCTACGACTACTGGCCTGGAGGGGGGGCGGGCTCAGAGAGCAGCACCGGCAGCAGCAGCCGCTGCTGCTGCTGCCTACTTCCACTTCGTTTCCTGGTGTCACTTGCTGGGAGCCTTTGCGCGCTGTGGGATACCCCATCAGGGCCTCTTCGAGGTCGCAGCTCCGCAACTTTGTGCAATGTTACAGGAGCACCAGCCACATCTGCTGCTCCTGCAGCAACGCCAGCAGCAGCAGATGCTGCTTCACCAGGGCACCAGCAGCAGCAGCACCCATCGCCACAGGCAGATCGTCACCCCGGGAGCCCTTCTTACGAAGGCTGTTCAGGCTTTTGCCACGTAGGCTTTTAGGGGGGGAGGCGCTCCGCGTTAACAGATGATGCAAAACGCTGCCCTAGCTACTTCCGCCTCACAGAGAAGCGTGTGCGTATGGGACTGCGTGTTGGTCCTTCCTTCGGCTGCAGGTTTGGGTATGCTCACCGGCGTCTTCTTCGCTGCGTCTCCGAGAGTTTGTGCTTTCTCTCGTTCTCAGACGAGCAGCTGGCGGTAAGAGCCACGAAAAGAGAGAAGCCGAACTCGGAGTTTGGCTATGTTCTCCCGCCCCCTTACGTTGCCTTCCCGCCAGACCTTACTCCCTCGATGCTGGAGCAAACACCTCCTACAGTGCTGTCTTCCTTGCTACCACTAATACTACTACCGTTTTTTTGTGTTCTCTCCTGTCGGTTTGCTCTTGTCTTACTACTCAGACCCTCCGAGACGCAATGGCCAGCCTCCAGCACGACGATCCCCTGCTTGACGCGCTTGCGAATACGCGTCTCCGGCGAGCAGTTAGCCTCGGCAGGGCAAACACCACCAGCGGCAGCAATAGCAGCAAAAAACAGCTTGTCAAAGGGGGCATGTCGTGACGCTGGATTCCTTCAGTTGTGGGACCTGCAGCTTGTGCGCTCGTTGTTGCAGCTGCTGCAGCTTGTGCGCTCGTTGTTGCAGCTGCTGCAGCTTGTGCGCTCGTTGTTGCAGCTGCTGCAGCTTGTGCGCTCGTTGTTGCAGCTGCTGCAGCAACGGGTGCTGTTGCTGCTCCCTAAGGAAGTGTTCGGCGCACGGAGAGTCATCAAGACACTGCGGCCCTGTCTTACAGGCCAGCATATGACTCTGCTGCAGAAACGTGGCTCACTCGGAATCCTGGTTCTATAAGGAGCATGATTGCGGTGCGTTTAAGAGCAGGAATGGGGTAAAGTTGCAGGCTGCTACTTGCTGCTGCATTCCAGTGTAGTCGTATCGGATCGTGGGTAAAGAGGGCCTTCTTCCAGGTCGCATGCGAGCGTATGCCGCAGGCTGGGCTACTGCACAGCTAACGAGCGGGCTGCAGTAGGCATGCCACAGTGTTCGAGGCTGTCCTGCTTTCTCTGATTGAATGATCACTTCTGGCCAGCCATTTTCGAACCACCCGCTGTGAGCGACGCCTTCCTGCTGCGGCTGCTGATGCCCCTGCCGTCACGCGAAGCTTGCTGCTTTTTGTCGTGGTACGAGGCCAGCTGCTGCCTGAGCAGTCTTCCCCGCTGCTCTCGGCGCCTCTCTTTCAACTTCAGCGCCTCGTAGTTCTCCTGCTCCCGCTGCAGTGCCGCTTGCACCCTCTCTATTTGCTCTTCCAGCCGGCGCTCGTGATAGGCCTGAATTGCTCGTTGCCTCTCCAGCTGCAGCATTGGCAGCACCAGCAGTACCAGCATGTAGATTTTGCGTGGTTTGTACGTAGTAAGGAGCGTCCCCCACAGGGTACAGCGTGCGAGCGCGCTAGGCGCGGTAACTTCTGCACTATCCATAAATCAGTAGATAAAAAGGCAGCTCTCCCCCCCCACACTAGCAGCCCTCAAGTTTCATTGCTTAAAACGCTGTTGACGGCCTCCGCCGTGCCTGCCGCGGCTGTCACTTTAGACGGGAAGATGGCGCGTGCCGCATGGAGGGCTGGGCAAGAACCAGCTCGCCGCAGCGCTGGCAGGAGGCCCCAAATGTCTCGAGCTAAGACATGCGTCAGAATTGCTGCCGTTATAGAAGGCCCCGGCGCCCATCTTACCTGCGCTGCTTGTGCTATCTGGAGGCGGTGTTGTTCCTCGAGTGTCTGCAATGCGAAAAGACATTATCACACTGTAATCACATAATTGGGGTTTTAGCTGGGTGGAAGGGGCGGGAAACGAATCGATCTCGCTCTATTGACTTCGGTAACACACACACTGCAAACTCTGCTGCCCTAAGGGCGCTCGTGAGTGGCGCCACGTACGGCCACTGTGCGGCTTCCTGTGTCGGAAAGCTGCAGCTGCATCAGCTCTTCCAGCTGTACTGCCTTCACCCTTGGGGCACATTGTCCCAGGGGAGTCGTTATACAGATGGAAAGCGCCCCTTCCGAGGAGGAGCTCGCGCTTTCTTTTATTGCTGCGTGCATTCTTTCAGCCAAAGCGGCTGCTGTCGCACTGTGCGTTTCTGCCGTTTCCGTTGCTGGTGAAGTTGCCTCGTTCTCTCGTAGTGCTGCTGTTTCTTCTGTTGCCTTTGGCTCAGTACACTGTGGTCGTGATGGTACTGCAGGAGGGCCAGCAGACAGCACTGACCCGTCGGTTACTGCTCCTCCGTGACGCCGCTGCGTTGGTGAACGGCGCTTGTTGTCAGCCACCATAGACGTACTGCCAGTGCCTCTAGCTTGCTGCTGCTCTCTTCGTAGCAACTGCCTTTGCGCTCCTAATTTTCTCATGTGCCGTACAGTGGCTTCTGTGGGCTTGCTGAAACCCCCTGAGAAAGGCTCTGCGCGCCGAACGGGCTGTGTATGCAGTTGGCGGTACGCCAGAGTGGCATTTTCACGTCGGGGGGGCAGCAGGGCTGGCTGTGCTAAAGCGCGGGGACCTCTGCCTTGATGGGCGCACTCAGAGAACAGTCCTCTGCTGCCGTTATTGCCACTGCTTTTTTGATAAGGTGCTCCAACCGCAGCCGAATGGCATGCTAACGCTTGAGGGGGCGCTGCTGCAGGAACACGTCGGTTTGCAGTGTCTGAGGCAAACACTGCTGCTGCAGATGCATTCGAGCTTTTCTCGGAAGACAAATCTGTTTTCTGCTGTGGCTGCGGCTCCTCTAGCTGAGACTTGTCAGGTGTTGTGCCTGGCGAAAGTGCTCGGGATATTTGCTGGTGGGCTGTAGCAGAGGAGGCAAAGCAACAAAGACAGCACGGCAGGCATCGGTGGCTGCGGGGGAACCCTTGTGCAAAAGAATCGCTTGTAACAGCAACACACGTAACAACGCCTGCAGCAGCAACAACTCTAAGAGCATACGAGCTTTTAGGGCTTCAGAGCTAGACGAACGACTGCGTAAACTAGCAGGAGTTCTGGGGCTGCAAACGTCTTCCTTTGGAACTATAGGCTGCCTTTTTGGCGAGTAATGCAGCTGCCGCCACAAGAGCATCTGTTGCTGCCTGTGCTGGTGGTCGTGTTTGTGTGGCGGAGGCTCTGGAGGGTGCAGCAAAAGCAATTTCTTCCTTCGCTGGCGCTCCTTCTCTTCCCGCAGCTGCAGCAAAAGCTCTTGTCGCCTCTTCTTTTGTCTGTGCTGAAGTTGCATTTGCTTCAACGCATCGGCCTTGGCAGCGGCAAGCATGCGTCGATACCAGGACCGAAAGCAATCAAGTCTGCCTCCTTGAAGTATCTTAGAAAACGTCAGCCTCAGCAGCAAATGTATGTAGTTCCCCTCGTCTGCATCGGAGTTGCTGCCAGTGGCGGTATCGTGCTGCTCGGACTTAGGGCTGCTGCTGAAGCGTCTGTTATTTGGGGAGGGGGCCAAGCCGAGCCAGAGATTGGCGTGAGGATTATTCTGAAACACTGCAAGCGGCCCAAGTGTTTTTTGCCCCTCATTTCTTTTGGTCTGGATTTCCTCTTGCTGCTGCTGCAGCAGCTCTTGTTGTTGCTGTTGTTGCTCTTGCTGGTACTCTGGTAGGGTCAAGGAGCAGATACAGCAGGCAGGATCTGGGATTGGACGTATCGCTGCAGCTCCCAGGAGCAGGCGGCGGAGGAGATTTTCCACAAAGCTGTATATTTCTGTCTCCTCAATTGCTCCGAGCAGTCCGTCCTCCTAAGGAGGCAGAAGCAGCAGCGGTAGGAGCACAAGTATCGATGCCACCAGCAACCACGCATTGTAATAATAGGAAGAGTCAACGTGAGGGAGCTTGACCCTGTTACCGCATTTCCATCTACTTGCTTCTGACAAGGGTTCCTGCTTAGAAAAGGGCGTTTGACCCCACTACAGGCGTGAAGAACCTAAAGCGTCATCTGGTTGCTCAGTTGCGTGGCATACCAGCTGGTACCGAGGTAGGGCTTCCAGTAACTCGCTAACGGACTGGCTGTTTTGGCCGCTAGCTAAGTTGTTAGCCATGTACATCCTTACTGTGACGCATGTGCGCATGTGTTTTGCTACAGCTACAATCTCTGAGACCCCCGGAACTCGCCTTTAAGAAGGTCCCAAGGGAGTCGACAAGCCTCTCCGCCCCCTCCCAGAGAGGCTTAGCTGCTGCAGTGCCAACACCCCATTTGGCTGTCCTGCTTCCTGGCGTGCCTGTGTCCTGCAGCACCAACCGTGGTAGCAGCAGCAAGCCTAACTGCAACATTAGCAACCGGCAACTGTGCAGTGCACATCTTTTACCAAGCAGAGGCTGCTACTTCGGCCCTAAGAAAATGTTCAGGAGGCTCGGCTGTCTTTACAGACAGCCACCTCCTACAAAAATCACCCATACCTCCTGGCTGTGTCTCTAGCCATCAATTCACACAATTTCCATTCCGCAGATTTTTTACTGTTCCAGTTGCTGCTCTGGGTGTAGCGCCGCTTCCCCCATATGCAGCGTTTTCCACTCACCATTCCCTCTCCAATGTGGCGGCATCTTCTTCAGCAGCTGGCCGTTGCATGGCCTTCAGTGCTGTTTCTTCAGACAGCGTTTTGCCCTGGTAGCTTCTTTAAAATCGACTGTGGCTGGAGATACCTGTTCCGTTAATGAGGAAACGAGAGCCACGAAGAGATCGGCAAACACACCCTCTGCGTCTTGCATCAGGCGCATGTAGTACACCCGACTTGGTCCAGAGGGACACCTGCTGTGCTGCGAAACGCAGAGGCAGCAGCGACTGTAAGAGGTCGATTGAAACCCCTTCAAGGCGTCCAGAGCAGCGCAAGGCTCACTTGACCAGGGAATCGAAATGATCCCACCAGAGAAGGGTTTCACTGTCAGCAAACGACCCTCTCTTTCCCGTTGCGGGTACTGTTTTTCGGGTGACCCTGGTGAGGCTGCCGGCCACAGCCAGCCCTCTGGTGGCCTCGCGTACTCCCACTTAGTCAACTAGCAAGAAATATGTCCATAAAACACCACAATGAATGAAACCTTGAATATGTAAAGCCCTTTGCCGAGGAAAAGCTTCGGGGTAGATAGCCGTTGCGCACTGCACCACCAAGGGGTGGCCGTCTAAATCCTGCACGCGGGGTCGTCAAAGAACGACACCCCAGCTCGAACCGCTGTAGCTGAGATTGGTTGATCCTTCCGTTTCCTATGTATCACGTTGTTTTAGGAACCGAATTTTCGAGCTACGGCCGTTCCACCCGGCGCCATCAGTTCACTATCAGTCGTATAAGGCAGCACGAGCAAGGGAATACTCGCCTCTGTCCCACACCCTCTGCCCCAAGGGCATGCTTTGGAAACTATGACGGGAGCTTCCATTTTTAAGCAATCAAAAGGCCCTCGTCCTCATTCCGAGCCCTCCACCAAGGGCCTGCTCCCTCCTACCCGGTGCAATCCCACCTGAGTCTGGCAGCTGTCTGTGGCTAGTGTGCACATCGTAGTAGCCGGCCTCACATAGAAACTAGGGCAAACAGCTTAAGGGGGCTCCCCTGCCTAGAGCCCTGCTTATCATTTCTACACACTACTACTAGCCCCCGTTACCACTAGAACTAGCACGCTTCCGTCCCCTCCCTCCTTCGCCTTGTTATTGCCATCCTACGCAAATCCACCCTCTCATATTCCCCTTTTTCCTATCGTCTTCAGTAGCACCCCACCCTCCACCGCCCTGGTCAACGTAGCAACCCCCCAAGGCCCCTCCCCTCCCCCGCCTGGGCCAAAGAGCAAAAATGCCTGCCGTTTGTCCCTGCTTTTGTTCCATTGAATTGAAACCGATATACAACAGAGGCCGTTGCCTCCCAAGCCAAAACGGCGCATTAGCCATCATAGCAGCCAATCTTAGCCAAAAGCTCACTCAACGTGCCCCCTCCGAGGAGCTCCTCATTGTAGGGAGAACCTTTTAAAAGTGCTCGCAGCCAAATCAAGAGACAGCGCAGTACTTACCTAAAGCGCTCCCAAGTGCCCTGAAATTCCCCCGCCGTCATGCAGAGCCCTTCTAGGTCCCTCAGAGATCATCCCTAGCACTGGGACGCCTAGAGAGCCGTTGCTGTTTCCTGTATTGGCGCAACTGCTGGTGCTTCCTGGGTAGGGCGAATAGGCCGCGTCGTGTCCTTCACTGTGCAGGTTGACATTTGCGGGATCATCGTGATAGCGCCTCATGGCCTTCAGAAAGCCGGCCTCTGCAAACTTCCGAAGATGCGGAAGCACCTCTTCGACAGTGGCCCTCTCTTCAGGTTCGGCTTTGACCAGCATATCGAAAACGACGCGTGCCGCCTCAGTACAGATGGGGAACCGTTGCTGCTCCCTATCGAGTCCTAGAGCTTCTCTTGCACACGACACCCACGTTTTCGGATGCACAGCCCATTCGTCCTTGCCTCTGTACTCGAGCGGACCAGGACCTCCTGGTGCCCTCAACACATCCACCACTCTTCTACCCATGAGGACTTCTGTGATGGAGAGCCCCGCACCCCAGGCGTCCGAGGGGAGGCCAATAGCCACTTGTCTTGCCACCTCCAGGTTCCTTTCCTTCTTCGTGTGGTACTCCAGCATTTTCTGCTCCGGACTCTCGTACCAGCTCGTGCCACCCGTGAAGTCCTTCGCGCTGTGCATGCTGGCGGTTCCCAAGTCAATGAGTTTGACGTCTAGGAGGCGCTCGCTCGAGTCGGGGGAGGTGAAAAAGTCGAGCACAATGTTGTCTGGCTTGATGTCGTTGTGACGGATCCCCAGCCTTGCGTACTGCGAGATGCGTTCCATGGCCAAATAGCACCAGTGCAGCTTGTGCTGCTCATACACAGCGGCAGTTCGCGGGTTGAAGGCGGAACTGTGCTCCGTCCTGATAACATCGAAGAAATCGGGGCCAGAAAGCTTCCGGGTGATGAGAACGCTCTGACCAGGGTTCTTCTTGTCTAAATAATAGCCTAGCAGCTCCGCGCAAGGCCACGCATCTCCCTGCCGCGCATACGGCTTCAACTGCTGCAGTTGGCCAAGGCGTTGGTAGATGTAGAGGTGGCACTCAATCTCGCGCTTGATGCTGCGTCCATCTCTCACGTTGCTATCCTCCACAAACTTCACGGCAACCGGAAAGGAGCACGATGGATCCAGAGGCGAGAGCCAGCAGGCCCTGTGCACCTTTCGCTTGCTACTGTTCTGACTGATAATCTTCTCAGCCTCTCGAGGCCAAGGCCGAAGCTCCGCCCTGTGATAGCGCCCTCCGTTGAGAGGAGGATACCTGAGCTGTATGGGGCCGTCTGGATCGTACAGGCGTCGATACTGACAGGGGGGCAGCAACGAAGGCCCTCTGTACAGGGGCAGTCCTCTCTCGTCAACCTCCGCATCCCTTGGCTGCTGCGGATTTTTCAGCCCGGCAGCGCCACTTTCTGAAACACAAACGGCACAAACAACGTAGCGCAACGAGCAGGTGTCTCGGAGCCCTTAGCAGCAACAGTGTTCAGGCCCGCGGAGATGACGGGCACCTCACCTCGTCCCCCGCAGCAGACAACATAAACACCGCGCAAAACAGCTGCAGAAAACAGTCCTTTTCCGCGCATGCACACCAACGTCACTTACGGGGCCTGAGCTCCACGCACGAAATATCCTGAGCCCCCACGTCTGGCAGGCAAACGGCCAGTGCAGTACTGCAGCCTGCAGGTGATAGAAAAAGCAAAAGCAATTTTCTTCGAGTTTCACGACACCCTCTCACAGCAAGGACAGAGCAAATCAACCAGCCTCAGGGACGCTACCGGGAGCAACAATTCCTCTCCTGCTTCCTACAAGACGTACCGGCCACTGGAGCTGCCTTTTCTATTGAAGGGCTACAGTTGGCTGCTGCTGCACTCTGTTGTTGTTGTGGGTGCTGGGGATGCTCGTCAACATCAATTGAACCTTCTACCTGCCGTTCGTTCGAATCGTAGCTGCAGCCACTTGCCATGGCTCCTGCAGGAGAGTGGTAAGTCCGGCTGCAGCAATCTGTGTAGCGCAGGTGGGCGCCCCTGCAGGCAGACACACCATCTGCCGCGGCCGCTTCCGCAGCCGCTTTCTGCAGCCTTTGAACGCATTTCTTGAGGTGCGTCTCCTTCTCGGTTGCAGCAGCAGCAGCAGCTGCTGCTGCTGCTGCTGCGGCGTCTTTGTCCAGCGTTGCTGCTGTTGCCGCAGTAGCCAGCGGGGACGTGTTGCAAGGTGCCCGCCAAGCTGGATCGGTGAGGTCTTGGGAAGGATTGTTAGTGTTGTTCGCAAGCAGCTGGGCAAGGAGTTCAGCGGACATACCGTTAGCCTTCCCGGCAGCTGCCTGCTGCAACAAAAGCTGCTGCTGCTGCTGCAGCAGCTCGACTTGCCGCATCCGCAGCATTTCCTCTACTTGTTGGTCCTGGTAGTGTTGGAGCTGCAGTTGCTGCTGCAGTTGCTGCGGGCACAGCAGCTTTCTGCTGCGCTGCACGTCAGCGTCCAGCAGCGCGTCCAGCACTTGTTGCTCGTGATGCCAGAGCTGCTGCTGCTGCTGCTTTACCAGGTGCCGTTGTGTCAGACGCTGCTGCAGCAGCAATTCGTGCTGCTGCTGCTGCAATTCTTTGCCACGATACCCCCTCCGCATATACGGACGAGGCGAGGGCGGAGACTGCGGCGGTGTCACGACAACAGAGGGCGTAGGAGGCACATCTACGGGGGTTAATGCTGTTGGCGTGTCAGACGTGCACAGCTGCTGCTGCCGTGAGCCGCAGCAGTCCAGATCTGCTGCGCTGCTGCTGCTGCTGCTGCTGCACAAAGCAGCGGGCGGCGCCCCACCAAAGAAGGTCGTATAGGACATTGCAGGATGTTAAGGGTTTGCTTCTGCAGCAACCGCTGCTGCTGTTGCTGCAGAAGAGTGTGCTGCGACAGCGTTTACCGATGCGGTGTTGCCAGAGGCGAGCGGAGTACATACAGCCGAGAAGAAAAGCCACTGAACGTTGCGATGAGACCCTCTGCTGCATATTTGTGGGCCTCTTTCAAAGAGTGCTCTGCGATATGTGCTACTGCTGCAGTGCAGCAACAGCAGCAGTGACTGCTGCCTACAGTTGTTCTGGCGCTTTACAGCTTCTTTCACTGGTGAACCGCAGTAAGTTCCCCATCCGCGGAAAAAGGGGCAGAGGCCCCTTCAGGCATACGTTTTAGTAATCATACTTTTATATGCCAAACCTTTCCCTCTAGGCTAATGACCTGTGTTCGCAGAAAGTTGCCGATCCTGCTGCAGCTGATGGTCGGTTTCGGCTGTTGCCGCCGCAGTCGATGCCAGCAGTGCTTCCTGTGAAGTTCTCGGCGTGTCACACTGCTAGGGACTCACGCGAATGCAGGGAGTCTTTCTGCGGAGACTCTTTCCTCCAGCTTTTCAGACACCCGTGTAAGGCCGCCCCAGAGGCACAGTGTGCGGCTGCAGCGACTGGCGTTGCAGCAGCGAGCCCAAGGCTGGGCTAGAAGCTTACAAATCCTAGGTGCAAAAGAAGGAAGATAGAGAAATGCAAATACATGGAGGTTCCTCTCTGCCGCAGGAGAAGGAACTGCTGCGGCAGCTGCGGCGCAGGAAGTCGGCCGAAGCCTTCGCTGCAAGTCGCAGCAACGAAAGGCGACAAGGGGGCTCTTCAATAGGAAACGCTCTCTTTTTGTGAATGCATAAAGAATTGAGGACGGAAGACAACAATAAATGTGGCTGGTGGGGCGCCTCAGACAGTGTCGGCGCAGCTGCTGCTGCTGCTGCTGTACAGCTGCAAACAAAAAGTGCGGCCTTAAAACTCTTGACAGGCGGAGGGCTTTTTTCCACTGGCTACGATATAGATACAGAAGGGCACAACACAAAACTGTCAATACACCTGAAAATAATTCTCATAGAAGGCCGCCGAAAAGCCGCTCGCGTGTCCGGGCAGCCGCTGCTGCGGCTGCTGCTGCTCGCTGCTGCGGTTTGCGCTACTGCTGCTGCTATCGACACTGCTGCCGGCTTTATAGCTACAGGGAGAAGTGTACTTTTTCTAGAGCAGCAAGGCCTTCTATATCTGAGACGATACACGAACAGAAGAAGCAGTTGTGGATTGATACGCTGCTTCAGCCGCTGCTGCCGCTGCCAGACTGTGCGAGCGAGAGCGGTAGCAGGACTGGCCTGCGCCAGCGGACAGCTGAGCTGCGGCTGTTTGCGGCTGTTGCTTGAGCTTTTGGCTGATACCTGCTTCTGGTGTAGTTGTGCTGGTTCCTTCTCCTAGACTCTTTGCCGGCGTCTTTTGCTGCTCGAACTGCCGCACAGATCTAAGCTTTGGGGGTTCGCTGTCCCTGATCAAGGAGGAAGCCTCCGCGCTTTGGGCTAGAGATCCTCAGTCCGATAAGTAGGTACTGCCGTTCCAGTCTGCGAACTTGAACACAACTTGAACAGTGTTGCTTGCTAACTCGTTGCCGTTGTTGGTTCACGGGTTGGTTTTGTTGCTGCCTCACGTGCCGCTGTTTGATTGGCCTTGCACCGGTCCGACTCGGAGAGAGTTCCAACTGCCGTGCAACGGCGCCGACAGTTGCTGCGGCCGTGAAGTGCCCATACGACCGCTCAGCTTCTTTATATAGACTGCAGTATAAAGGTATCGGACACCTCTAGGTCATTCCTTACGAGCTACATATATGCCGAGACTAGCAACCAAGCCACAAGTACTTGCAAATAGCTGCGTCCACCGGGTCAGAGAGGCAAGGGAACGCAGTGAGGAAAAGCTGAGTTCCAGGCTTTCAGGAGTTCAAAGGAGTGCACCCAACGCAATGAGAGAGCCTTGGTGATACGTACAGCCGCAGAAACAATAGCTGCACCCCCTAGCTACAACAGGTTTCGAGAGACACTGCTGCAGCTGGTTTGCCTCGCGCTGCTAGAAAGAGGGGCACCCGTGGCTGCTGTAGCAGCACTCGGCGTGGAAAGCAAAGACATGCTCTGTTTCTACAGAAAGTTGTTCCAGGTTACCTTGGGCTGCTTGCCATTGGAGATCACACTGGGCTGTTTGCCTTTCACGTGTGAGGTTTTCTATTTGGCCTCATGAAGCGTCTCAGTATAGAAACAGTAGTGTTTTTGAGGCAATGGCCAGCAGACAGGTGCCTCAGTCCTCTCCAACCTGGCACGTTGTGTTACATGAGCATGCTGCGGTGCAATGCTACTGAAGCCTTCTGTATAAGTGCGTATATATACATGAATACATGTTTTACTTAAGCTGCGCTGCAGCTTGCTGCCGTTGCTTTTCAAGAGCCCATGTGGCTGCATTTTCTGGTGTAAGCGGCCACGAGAAAGCCCACGGGTTCATGGAGTCCATCTTGAGCTGCCCTTCTGCCCCTTCGTTACTGCCCCGAGTGCAGACGTAGCAGTGCTCTGCATGCGCGTAGGGCTGCTTTGCCGGTAGCCATCGGCTAGCGTCAAAGTCCCACTCCCGTAAGACCACCGGGCTGTTGTGCTCACAGGGGAGCCAATGCATCTCCTCGCCGCGGGGGCCTACAACCAACAAACGGGGAATACCCAACGTCACCCTCCCGGCCGGAATGGGAGGACCTGAACACAGGCAACAACGAAGGTGAGGCACCGAAGTATGGCCTGAATCTGGAGAGCAAATAGCAGGCCTAACCAGGACCAGCAGCTCTAACAAACAATGTAAAAGTCCCAGCGCACGGGGGAGAAGCACACACACAGAGCTGCAGGAGGAGAAGCAGCAAAAACCAAGGATAACACAGAGATGAGGGGCATTTAATCAACAGAGATAAATTTCGTGCATCGCAGTGCACATATTTCTGCTGCTTCAGCTACTAAGGGAGGGGACAGGGCCAGCGTTAACGGAGGATAGAAGGTGGCGGCAAGGAGGCCCTCAGGAGCTGCCTTCCCTGTCGTTGTCAGACCTTGTTGGCGTTACTGAGAGCATAGGAAGAAACTCAAGGAAAAGGTGACAGAATAAAACTGAAGAGAACACGCACCTACAGGCTCAACCTTCAAACGGTATCTCTTCATTAGCCTGTCCCGTAAGGGGGAGGAGTACTGCAGAGAAAGCCAGGGCATAGTTCGTCTGCTGTTCTCGAATGCCTCCTCGTCATTATCGAGGCTTATGTATATAACCTCTACCTTGGGTCCACCTCCCTCCTCATTAACATTCTTGTAGAACTGCGGGTAAAAGCACAAAAACACTGGGCAGCTGTCCCTTGAATGACGCACTGGCGGGGGATGGATATATCAAAGGCGAGGTGTGCATCTTCATGAGCAGTAATGTAATTTGAGAACGAGGTGCGTTTTGGTGCTTATGAAAACAAATATTATTCACGTCGAAGCGATCTTCAAACAAACGCAAATGATGCGATTTTCCGAACAAGGCGATATGAAGCCATACACACCACATGGAGAAGCCCGCAGAAGAGAGGCACCTCCTTAAAGACATTGGTCTGATTTTGTTAATCAAAGCGCCCGTGGATATGCAGTGAGAACCATGAAACCGGCTTCAGACGCCCTTGCTAAGGGCGTCCTCATCAATCTCTGATATAGTTATATACGTGTATACGAGTACAGCTGTTGTCCCTCGATGCGACAGGAATTTCCACAATAGTGCACACGTTCATGTGCAGAGATCGCGTTGCAAAATTACTTCCCTGCATGCCACTCTGAAGGAGGAGCAGAACCCTACGCGCATGTGCATACTTAAGGGACGAAGACATGGTGAGACGGACAGAAGGCAGGAAATACCCGTTTGCTAAGCTGATTTGAAATGATGCCTAGCCCCTCGGCGTAGTTGGAAAAAAAGTATTTAAACGCCTCGGCGGAGACAGCAGGAGACTGGATGTTTTGCTCTTGATGACCGAATAAGATTGTAGGCCCGTTGGGATATAGAAAACAGCTTACTTATGGGCCCTCTTACCTGAATGAGGAAGGGCACGAACGAGGCGCATTTAGGGTGACATCCCGCCGAGAAGAGCAGAGCCACAGAGCGACCCCACAGCTGATCCATGCCCACGGGTTCGTATCTTCCGCCTATAGCGCGCTTCACTAGGTCATCACCCGCTCCATCTAGAAGGCCTTCATATTCTATAGAAAGAAAGTAAGGAAAAACACGCAATTTCAAGTAGTTTCTACGCTGCCGAAGCACACGCACATACGGTCAGAAGCCAAAACGAGCCAGCGGGTGAGACGCAAAGCCAGAGGGACACTGAGGCCTTGAGACTGCACCAAAGCTCTAGAGCAGGTGAAGCAAACACCGAAGATGCACTTGAATATCCCTATTTCGCTCGTGAATGTAGCAAGAACAGAGGCAACCTGCTGATCTATTCTTACCTCGGGAGGGGTCCAACACATTGGCGCCAATGGGTACCGTAGAAGGCTCGAAGCCGGCTCGCATGAGGTACTCGCCACCCCTGTCAATGACGTAACCTTCTGCGCTTCTGGTTTCTCCCACGAACTGACCACGGCTGAATTTGGCTGCCTTTGAGCCGGCAAGCGGCTTGACAGCCGGCTGCTTAGCAGCCGGCTGCTTAGCAGCGGGCTGCTTAGCAGCCGGCGTGTTTTTCATCCTGTGTCTAGCAAAGCCCTTTCCAATGACGATGAAAGAGAGGGGTGTGAACAGTGTAACCAGGGAAACCTGCAGCAGCAGTATGCTCCTCTTGTCCACGGGGTGTGTGGGTGTATGTACAATCGACTGGCCCCCGAGGGAGAAGGGAAACACGAACAAGCAGGGCAGAAGGATCAGAAAGCGTGCCAATAAGAAAGGGTTAAAGGCAAAAGAGAAAGCAAAATTGTGCGAATGCCCTACCAGAGCCGCAGCAGTTGCGTGCGTGCCAGGCCCCCGAGAGTCACCGCACCAATGGCCTTCAAGGTTCAAAGGTTCCAAAACAGGATCACAGGCTGCTTGGGCAGGGGTCTGAGGAGTTTGTTTTGCCAGAAACTGCTACGAAAGTGATAGTTTAGCACGTCTTTGCTCAAAATGGGCGTCATCAATCCTTTTACACCAACCCTGTTCTGCGTTAGCTGACTCACGCGACCCTCCCACCCCAGCAAGCAGGCCTCGCCGCGTCCCGTGCTTCTCTTGGGTGAAGCCAAACATAGAAACACACCAACGGTTTTCCTTTAAAGCTGTCGATTCTCTAGAAACTGAGGACAAGAACACTTCCTCTGTGCAGGTTCTCAGCGCTCGGCCCTACTGGCTACTAAAAATCACTGGGTACCCAATTGGCCGTATGATAACCCAGGCACTCAGAAGAGTAGATCGAAAGGCTTTTGCAACCTATTTTGCTCGAGTGTCCTATTGGTACACCGTGCAAGCCACGGGAAGACTGCACCTGAGGCAGGTCACAGTCCCAGCATCAAGGGGCAAGGGGGTGGTAGACACGAGCACCTACTGAAGAGTCCAGTTCCCTGAGTATTGGTCATTCACATGGTTGGGCTCTGCTGTGCCCGCTTCCCCCCAGTCGCTCGTATACGTGCTTTTAGCTTGCAGAGGAAACAGGGGGCCTGTCCGATGCCGTAATCCCCCTACGGCCATGTCTTTCGCATGCCCCTCAGTTTAGAAAAGGGGAAAGAGACCGCCGACTAAGGCGTTCCCCGATAAGTACCTGGTGCGGCCCTCTTCCCTAGCCCGAGTCTGAGTGTGCTCTTATCGACCTGAACTACGGTTGAGAACTGGCGGTGTTTGTGTACACCTGATAAGCGTCACACTGTCGTTTCCAGGAGTTTGCGCTGCGCTAAACAAATGGAAGCATCAAAGCGCTATCCTATCAGGAGCAGTGTATGACGCAGAGCGTTAACCCCCCCTTCTTCTCCCCCTTTTATCTCAAGAGGATGGGTGTGAAGCTGCGGCCAACTCGCCGCAGCACCTTCGACTAAGCTGCTTCTATTGTGGCAGCAGCCTGTGCTGGACAGCAGCAGACAGAAAGCGGCTTTCTAAACCGCCGCCTGCTTCCCTGCTTTATGGCCGTGTCTTGTGGCCGGTTGCCATCATGTGTAGCAGTGTTTCGTCCGCTTTCTTGCTCATGGCTTGTCCGCCCATGAGTCGCCGATTTTTCCCTCGGCCTCACAAGGGACCCGTCGCAAAAAGAGGCTTCCTGCCTCTTTCATGGTGTGCAGCAGGATCTCTAGGCCCTAAAAACGGCACATGGACATGCGCGCAAAATGCACGGCTTAGCAGAATCCCTCAAAGGGCGAACGCACAAGACGGACGGTTTCAGCGCCACAGAGCTCTCATGCAGAGATCCTTGAGAAGAAGACGTGCACGCACCCGTTCCTGGTGTCTTTCTGGAACCTGGACAATAATCTCGTCGTGTACACACATCACCAGCTGCCCTTCCACCTCGCGGAGTCGAGGGAGGAGAAGGGCTAAACTTTCCTTGGTGATATCTGCCGATGTGCCCTGCGCGCGCAAAATCCAAAAAAGATTCTGCCATAGTATCGCATATTGAAAACGCATCAATTAGTTTCCTCCCACACATGCCTCATGACAAAGGACCATAGAGACGTGGAGGCTACGGTTTCTCCTCCCTGCAAGACACCTCCCAGCCGAGAGGCAGGTGCACCGCTTCGGCAGCAGCAAAGCCTGGGGGTTTCCCACAGGTCCACGGATGTCGGAAGACGTGCCTCAGGGAGAAGGCTGCACTAGTCGCGGAACGCGCGCAGTGCGAAACACGTCTACACTCTAGAAAATTACCTGAACAGGGTAGTTAAGGGCCTTTGTGAACGAGAAATCATCGAAGGAGGCCCTGCGTCCAGACCGCGTCCGTGTCTCGAGTGGCATCAGGCGCTGCAGCACCACCACGCAGACAAAAAGAGCTGCAGGAAGCGGAGCCCTTGCAGGCGTGTGACATCTCCCCATCGTCGGTGGCAATGGAAGGAAGGTGGGAGGGAGAAAGGGGAAGGCAGGAAAGCAAAAGCTGGACGTTATTACACCCGTTATGTCACAGGGGGCGTCTCCCTGAACCAGGGGTGAGGACTGCAGAGACAAAGGCCAAGGGAGGAGGCCCGCACCTTCTGCTGCTGATGCCAACGAGTGATGCCTCTAAAATGCTTGAAAAAGTTGGCATGAAACGCTCGAGCTTCTGCAGGCGTCAGAGAGACGCCGTAGGCAGACAGCGCGTACTCGCGGAACCGAGGCACGCTAATCCCTGCACAGGAGACGATCGCAGATACAAAGCGTTGCTGCTTAACGGTCCATCTTCCCGCTTTCTCCCTCATGCGAGCCCTGCATGGCTGCTGGCCCTTTCATAGCGAGCGTTCTAGAGATAGACAGCGTTCAGGGTGTGTGGGTGTGCGTGTCTATGTGTATGTCTATGTATAGGTGTATGTGTATGCGTGTGTATGCGTATGTGTATGCATACGAGTGTGTGCAGGTTCGGAGTGGAGGTACTGGCAAGAGGAGGAGCAGGGATGAGGCTACGCTCGTTCCTGCCGCAACTCACCATAGATAAGGCCAAAGTTCACAGCTTTGGCTAGCTGGCGATCAGCCTTGCTCAGCTTGTCCTCGGGCTTTGAGAGGAGTAATGAAGCCGTCAAGCGGTGAAGGTCTTGACCCTGAAGCGCGGCAAGCACAGTGAGGCCCCTCTTAAGAGGCTCACGTGGATTTAAAGCGGCAGCAGCAAAAGCCTCAACGCACGATGCCTCGAGTAAGAGGCACGCCGCCAAAGGGGCAGCAACTGACCTTTTGGTAGGCTTCGATCATTTTCTCGTCTTGGGCAATATCTGCTGCGATGCGGAGCTCGATTTGGGAGAAGTCTGCAATAAGGAATTTCCATTTCTCTTGGTGCGCTGCATCTGTAGGTGCGGCAGGGGGCTTTAGGGCTGCTGCCGCGTCAGCAGCTTCATCCGAGGAGAATTTCTGTGCAGCGTCATCAGCGCGAGCCTCATCGGCAGCGCCTGCAGCGGGAACGGCTGGGAGGTTCAACAGTAGGCGATGCGCAGCTGGAACAAAGCAGCGGCGGAAGGCGGCTTCTCTAGGGATCTGCTGAAGATTAGGTGAGTCACAGGAGAAGCGGCCGCTGCCAGCTCCGCACTGATGCAGTTGCGCATGAATGCGCCCTGAGGAGACACTCAAAAGGCCAGTGCCTTCGCATGCCTGTGGATGTCTGCTTGCTTTTACACCTGTCGCTCTGCCTCAGCGAGCGGTGTGAATTAGGAATGGCGGGGCAGCCAGCCAACTAGGGAAAGCGGCATTCGAGAATGTGAAGCCATGAAGCGAGCCCGCGAGCACGCCCTCCGAAGAATTTGCGCGATGATGGGAAAAGCGCAAAGGCAAGACTCGCTTTCCTTTAGAGGTAGAGCGTACCAGTGGTGGGGTTGACGTGCCGAGGCAGCCGTTCAGCAAAGGCAGAAACAGCCTTGGAGGCCCTCCTAAAATTGCGCAGGGCGGCGACTGCGGGGAAGTGTGAAAGACGACTGAGCGTGTTGTCTCCTGTGTCTGTCAGTACGAATGGATTGGTTGTTGATGCATCTGCTGCTGCTGCCCCAGCGTCTGCCTTGGCAGCCGGAGGGCGCTGCCGAGTAGAAGGGGCGTGCGAGACGCCCACGCGGCGAAGGGCCTCGAGAATCTGTCTCTGGGAATTGAGATTGATGGTTTCAGCCGTCTCGCCAAGCTGCTCGAGCAAGGCGTTAGCGGCCTCCTCCTGCTCCTTCCGCAGACGCTCTGCCAACCCGTTCCAGCACGTCATGTCGAGCGCCATGCCTGTCCTCTCCATCGAGACAACTGCAGCAGACTCAGCATTTGCACATCCACTAGCAGCACTGGAGGCTAGTGATGCGGGCAGCACCTTTCGCACTCTTGGAAAGCGCTAATAGCCAGGGGCACCACGTGTGAGGGCTAGAACCAGACACACAAGGCCTCGGCTGCTGCCGCGGGCTGTACAGCACAAGTACGCGTTAAGGACTCATTTTATAGAAAAAACACCTGCGGGGAGGGTGCGGTGCTCCAAGTCAGCAACGCGCAACAGCTGGTGCTGCTGCAATCGACGGCTCAGCCGATCGTGAAGCGGCAGCAGAACGGCCGCGTCTCTGCAGCAGTCAGACCCGCAGAAACGTGACCCAGTCCTCCTAGGCTTTTCTGCACCTTACCACGCATGAAATGTCTTTCATAAAAAACCACAACACCACCTCCCCCCTTCCCTTCCCGCCCCCTAGAGGGCCTTCACGTGAGTATACCAGCGCGAACCGTGAAGAAGCGCACACCTCTCTCTATACAGAACTGGAGCTACTGGCGTCTTCGAGACACACCCGTAGTACACGCACGCACCTTGCGGCATACAGGAGCTGCTCGTCACTGAGCTCGGGGAGCTTCCAGTCGCTGACTTGCATTTGCTTGTCGAGGAAAACACCAAGGGCCCTCTCAGTCACCTGCGCTAAGGAAAAACCCGAGTGAATCTGCCCTGCTTCCAACAACCGACTCGCCAGTAGCGTATCGAAGAATGGAGGACTTAAGCCCCCCAACTCTTCGGATGCAGCAAGCGTGTACTCCGCGGAACGCCGCGCGAAGCTCGCACTGCCACTCGTGCCACTCTCCCCCTGCTGTTGTACTGCAGTAGCACCCATGGCGATCTGGGCAACGGCATCGCCGCCCTCTGCTTCTTGCTGCTGCTTCTGCTCCTGCTGCTGCTGATGATTTTGCGTCTCCTCCCCCCGCTGCTGCTGCTGATGTTGTGTCTCCTCCTCCTGCTGCTGATGCTGCTGCTGCCTGAGTTTGAGCAGAAATTGCGAAAGGAAGCTGAGATCAAATTTGGCGTGATGCATGACTTTGGTGATGAGGGGTGTCTGCAGGAGCAGCAGAAGGCCCTCCAATGAGGCGGGGGGTAGCTTAGCAACGTCATATACCAGACAGGGCAGCTCTGGCAAAGCAACTTGAACCAGCCTGCAACAAAAAGCGTGGCGCACATACGGCTTCTGTTGATGCGGGTTTGAAGCATCGCCCGTGCGGCTGGCAGGCAGGACCGCATCAAAGGCAGCTGCTTGCGGGGTGGCTAGAGCAGGTTCGAGGACTAGACAGACCAGAGCCTTCTCTACCACGCGTACCTAAGGCTGGAGGAATGAGGATCAAGGCCCGTAGTTTCCACGTCTAGGCCCATTGCGATAAGACCTTCTGGCTGTCGATAGCCCCCTGCTTCAGGCTGCCACTCTGGATTGAGCCGCTGCTGCAACTCGGGTTGCTGTTTGAGTTCTTGTTGCGGTAGTGAAGGTGACTGCCCCTGTTGCTGGTGCTTCTTGCTGCTTGCCTCCTGCTGCAAGAACTCCAGCAGCTTCCTGAGCAACACCTCAACTCTCCGCGCCTTGGAGGGAGAATCTATCAACACAAAGTCGGAGGACAAACGCTCGTCCTGCACGTGCAGAGGCACTTGCACGAAGACAACTTCCTCGCTGCTGCTGGCGCTGCTGTCGCTGCTAGCCGATTCGCCTGACGCGCCTTCTCTAGGGGATGCCGCCGCGTCTGGAGTCCTTTCTTTAGCGTTTTCGCTCGAATTGAGAGGCTTTTCAGGAGAGCCCGTGCATGCAGCAGGAGGCAGTGCACTCTCTTCAGGGGCTGCGGCGGGGCAGTCACCGCGTTCTGCTGCAGAAGCGTCGGATCGCTTCCTTAGAGCCTCCAGATCCAGCCGCGCCGCCTTCGCGTAGCTGCTGTTGCGCTGCTCTAGGTAGTGGCTTAGGGGAATTTTTTGCGTCAATGTGACATGCGGTGGTGCCCCTGTAAGCCCCTGCGAGAGATTGCCAGCAAATACAGCGCCTGCAGCTGTGGGATCCGCGGACTGATTCTGAGATTGAGGGGCTACTTCGAGGTCGACCTGCCCTGCTGCTGTGAGTAGGAGTTGCTGTTGGTGTTGTTGTTGCTGCTGCTGGCGCTGCAGCAAGCGCTCGTGCTGCTGCAGCATGCTGTCAATGCAGGCTTTGATCTTGGGGCTGCTGTGTGCCGCCGCCTGCAGATCCTCCAAGAGCAAGGCCTTGGTACGGCCCGCGCCGGCGGTTTTAATGGGCGGCTGCAGCGGCAGAGCAGCAGCAATCTCCCGTAGGACAGCAATGGGTAGCTCTCCTGACAACTCAATGGCCTTTGGAGCTTTTTTTGCCGCGTCTGCTGGCGCGGCTGTCCTATTAGAGAGCCGATTATCTCCATCCGGCTCTGGGTGGGTGGTAGCCCCCCTGCTTGCTTCGAACTTCGAGGGTGTCGTCGCCTCCACGGGAACAAGGCCTTCCGCAGCTGCAGCGAGATCGGCGCAGGGTGCCGGAGGAGGCGGGGAGTGCGCAGCCGCTATGGGGTGGCCTGCGCGAGGCCTTTCTTCTGAGAGCCACAGCCTCTGCGTGCTCCTTGGAGGGGCTGCCGCGGAAGCCATCGAATTCAGAGGAAATCCTCTGGGGGCGAACCTGCAGCAGAAGGCACAAAAGCGCCGTGCACGCATCCCGCGCCAAGCGACATATTACACGTGGAGCTTCCCAGGCCAACAAAGGCCACCTGAGAAACAGCATGCGCGATCTACCGCTGCTAGCACTTCTGCATTCGGTCCAGACAGCACGCGCAGAGTGCAACATACGAAAGAAAGACACCGCTCTCAAAGAAGGCAAGCGCCGCTGGTCCTTACAGGCTCATCAAAGACTTTGGCTCGTGCACCCCCTTGAAGGCCACTGCGTCTCGAGCGCTGCTGCGCAAGCCAAAATCGAGGCGCCTCCCTTCCTGTGCTGCTGATTCTGCTGCAGCGGCGGCCTCGCCGCGATGCATCTCGTGCGCATCCTCCGCTCCAAAGGCACTCTCGCCAGCTCGTGCCCCCTCGACGGCCTGCGCACATACAGCGCCAACACAAGAGAGAGCAAGGCGCATGCAGAACCAACACAGAAGGCTTTGCCTCGGAAGAAACAGCCCCTGAACACGTGGACTGTTCTTCCTTGCTCTACTTTTCTCAGCGCTGTAGTTTTTCCCTTGCTGTTTCTGCTCCTGCCCCTCCTCGCACCCACCCGCATCAAGAGGGACGTAGGGTCGAATACATAGGGCACCGATCCAAGCTCCCCAGAAAAACGATTCTTCCGAATTTCAAGGGCATAATGCATGCGGCGCTGTTTATGCCGGTTGGGACCGCCTCGCTGAAGGTGCTGCTGGAGCCCTTGCGGCAGCTGCTGCTCATGGCGGCTTTGATGAGAAGTCCTCGAGGCTTCGCGCTGCAGAATCACGACATTATCCGCCTCCTGCGTTGACTTGACGCTGCCAAAGACGGAGGAGAGGCCTAGGGGCACATGGTCATCCTGCGCGAGCACGTGGAAAACAACCGAAGCAGCAGCAGGTGCAGGAGAAAGGCCTTCTTCAGTGCGTGCAATTCTTCATAGATGCACCTCGGCGGGGTAAAGGGTTTATATATATGTATACTGTGCCTTTGTTCCATGCTTGGTTTTATATATATGTATATATATACTGCGCCGTTGTTCCATGCTTGTTTTGATTTGTCTGCCGCGGCGCTGCTCTCCCCCTCTCGCTCACACATTCGTTCTTACCTCTTTCCTCGGGTGCACCACAATGGAGAGGTGTACGTTGCGTTGTGTTGCAAATCGGCGAAAGGATGCGATTGCCGAGTTTTGAAGATCCCATATGTCCGACTGCCGCGCCTGGCCCGACAACATAAACTGCAAATTGTCGATTACCACATGGCCAACATCGTGTGCATACACCGCGTAGTCCATCGCATCCAAAACCTGCAGAGACAGCAGACACAACAAAGCAAGCAGAGACAGGCCTCGACAATTGATTCGCCCACCTACATCCTAGCCTGCAACCGCACTCTTCGCAAAATGGAAGGAAACGATCTGTCCAGTCCCCCGTCGTGCGCATCAGAGCAATAGTCCTCTTACACACTGCTCTCCGAATCACCAAGCCTAGGCGCCAAGGTAACCACGAGAGAGAATGAGTGAGAGAATGATAGACAGAAAGAGGGAGAGAGAATGAGTGAGCGAATGACAGAAAGAAAGAGGGAGAGAGAATGAGTGAGAGAATGACAGAAAGAAAGAGGGAGAGAGAACGAGTGAGAGAATGACAGAAAGAAAGAGGGAAAGAGAATGAGTGAGAGAATGACAGACAAAGAGAAGAGGCAACAAAAAAGGCCCGCATGAGCTAGCTAGTTCCAATATAATACGAAGGCAACTGAAGACACGTCCGAACCGCAAAGCCTCTAAAAGAGGGTGAGGAAGCGGCAGCTTACCTCCTCCACGCTAGTTGATCCGTGGAAGCGCAACAGCCAGAGCGGCAGCTGTGCAAAAGAGTCTGCTACTCGAGAAAAATCCTTACGACTGGCTCCTGCTACCCCATCGCTGAACTGCAGCATCATCATTCGCAGCAGCCTAAGGCAACCAGCACGCACAGACGCAGCTACACAGCAGCAGCGTAACTTTTATCAACAGTCGACACCTCAGCAGGAATGTGTCTCCCTCCAGTGGCCCCTACAAACCTCGGCTACAAGTACTTCCCCCCGCCACGCTATCCACAACATGCGGAAATACACACCTAATGTTGTTTACTTCAAACGAACCCCAGAGAGTCGGTACACCCTGTGAGCAGAAATCAAGAGACAGCTGAGAGAGCGCAGTTGTTTTGCCAGCGCCTGTCCCTCCGGTCCAGATGCTTAGTTCTCCTCGGCGGAAACCCCCTGCACAAGGTCGCAAAGACGCACATCTGCATCTTCCTCATCCAATTACCCACACAGAGAGGCCGCATGAAAAGCCGTAACGCACGAAAGATAAAACATCCGCAGCCTCCGTATATCCCTGTTTGCTTTTTCTACCTCCCTTATCCCTCTCTGCCTTCCTCTACCTCCCCTCTCTTTAAAAAGAGGAAAGAAGCAGCACCGAACACGCAGAAAAACACGCCTAGAGAGGCAAGTATAGGCAGTAAACGAGAAAGAACCCCTCAAAACACACGCCCTCCGTAAAAGGTCCTGTGACACCCTTGGAATCCTTGCCCCTCATGTCTCTTCTCTCTGTTTCTCTGCCTCTCTCTGTTTTTTTCCCTCTCTCTGTCTGTCTCCCTGTATCTGGAGAGATTCGCGCGTACCGAGTATGGCCGTAAAGGCGGGTAGAGTGGCACTTTGCAGGCCTCGCGTTGCAGCTGTAGTACACCACCGCAGCCAGAAAGCGTAGCACAGCGTTTTCTCTCCGAGACGCAGCAGCGCGACCTTCCGTCTACAGGGGGAGGAGGCGGAAGTGCAGCAGCATCAGCAGCAGCGGCGCGATTGGTGTAGACACGTAGACGCTGGCAAGGCAAAGCGACATCCTACCTGGCTCAACAAGTTCGTGCATAACACGTGATCGGAGATCCTGGAAGGTCAGGATCTGCTGGTGAGGTACGCGTCGAGCTGAGCAGAGCAGGGTTCGAAGATCAAGGCCTGCGAGAAGACACTCGTTAGCGTCCTTAGGAATGCGCATCTCCTCCTCCTCGTCTTCTTCTGTTTTGTCCTCTGCCAGCGCCTTCCCCGGAGTTTGCAGTCGCTGTCGCAAGTGCTCGAGGATTTCGTCCGTGTGCCTCACGACGTGGCAGCGACTGATGCCTAGCTTGGATGCCCATAGATCTGCGCCCTCGCGGCCTGCCGAGTCTTCATCAAACCACTGCATGGAAGCGAGGCAAAACATACAGCATGCGTAGCACCGCTCAGGAGCGGCAACATGAGACACACGCGAGCGATGCAGGAGAGGAGTGCACACGACAGCAGGGCACACGGTGCCTTCTTTCTATGCGGAGACACACTAGCTGCAGCCGTAGCGCAGCACCCTAGGGTTTCTCGAGCAGCTTATAACACACACATACACATACACATACACCAACGCACCAAATAGATGGACTTGAAGCGCTCAAAGAAGGGAAGCAGGTACGGAGGCAGGCTGTTGGCTCCCACTGGAACTGAAACAGTCGGCATCCCTGTTTGCTGCCAAATAGCCATCGCGTCAAATTCCCCCTCAGCTATGCATATGGCATCTCCAGAATACAGCTGCTGTTGCTGTTGCTGCTCCTGTTGCTGTTGCTGTTGCTGCTCCTGTTGGTGCCGCCCAGCAGCTGCAGCCCCTGCTTCGTCCTCTGGAGGCACCTCAGCAGCAGCAGCTACAGGCTGCGATGCATCTGCGTGCGCCTTTTTGTTACTGCTGCTGGTACTGCCAGTGCTGCTCCTCCACAACTGTCGCAACACGACGTCAGCACCGAAAAGACCCCACTTCCCGCTGGCCCTGCACGGCTCCAGACGCATGCAGCTCTTGTCTTCGATGCTCCGAACTTTTAGCCTGACAGGCATAGGCTTCGTCTGTCCTGACGCTACGCCCTTAAGGCCACGCCGCGAAGAGGCCTCCCCTGCACCTGGAGCGCGGCAGTGTACAGCCGGCATCCACGGAAACGTCACACAGCAGTGCGGCTCAGAGCTGCAGCAGTCAGAAGACAGCAAAGCCGCAAGGCAATGAAACAATCAAACAGGAGGGGTTGCGCCAGTCGTGCAGAAAGCCTTGCACAACAAACATGGGCAGTGTACACACATATTTATACGTGTATACAGATATACATGGATATGCACATGCGTATATATATATCGATATATATATATATATATTACATATACGTACATATACATGTGTATACATATGTGAATTTATATATACATTTATATATGTATATATATATTTAAAAGGGCTACAAATGCGGTAAAACGCAAATAATCAACACCACGCCGTGCAAAGCGGTCCTCTAGTAAAACCAGCAAGGGCAAGGGAGTGTTCACGTCGTGCGAAGTGCAACGCAGCACCCCTACAGCGCAGGGAGAGACTTACGGGCCTTCGCCACTAGCCGGTGGAAAGAAGAAGACACCAGAGCCTACACCAAACTCAAGAAGCTGCAAAAAGCACATACACACACACACACACACACACACACACACACACACACACACACACACACCAATAGCCGTTCATAACAAGCGATTGGCGACGTTTTTTTAGTAGTACTACCACCCTTTGCCCTCCGCCGCCTTCCCCTTCGTTCCTCTCCCCCCTCCTCCCGATCGCAGTATCCCCTTTTTAGCAGCAGCGCGAATCAATGGCCATACTAAGACTTGTGCAGCCTAGCAGCTAAGAAATCGCACCGTTTCCACCTTTAGGCCCCGCTTCTCGGTAAGATACCTCAGCACGCGCCTATGGCAGTCCTCGCTGTTTGCCCTGTTGCCGCTGTTGCCTCCTTCAGCAGCAGCGACCGTGGCGACAGCTGCCAGGTTCTTCGCATACACGTCTAGCTGTGGCTGGTGCTGCTCCCTGTGCGGGTGCACCCCGGGGACGTTTGTGTTTTCGCACTGCCCCCCGTCGAATAGAGGGGCGGGCAGCGTCAGCATCATCGCTTGCTGCTGCCGCTGTTGCGGGAGAAACATGCCCTCTGCACCACTGCCGCCGCTGCTGCTGCTCAGGTCGCCTGTGCGCATCTTGAAGTCGAAGAGGCTACCTTTAGAGCCGCACCTGTGGCAGTAAAAATTGCCCGAGTTTCTAAAAAAGATCAGCTTGTTAAGGTTGTCTCGCTTGTTCTTGTGGGGAGGGCAGAAGGGGCAGAAGGTCACAACAAACTTCTCCGCGTCTTCGGAGAAGACAAGGCCCTTGCGTTGCAGATAGGACCTCAAATCCGGGGAGCTGTACAGCTGCGAGTAGTGCGAAACAAATGGCGCCTTGGCGGCATAATTGCTGGTGTTGCTGTTGCTGCTGCTGCTGTAGAATACCGGCTCGCTGAAGAACGGAGAAGGCGACGAATCAGTCCACGGCCCCTCGACGGAAGAGCGACTCCCCACTCCCAAAAATTGCTGATACGGCTGCTGCGACGGCGGTTGCTGCTGCAGCTGAGGGCCCACAAACGGCGATAAGCGACTCCTACGGCTCTTGCCACGAGCAGCATCACTTGTGCCCTTGCCGCTATCGCCACCGTCATCGCCTTCGCTAAGCGGAAAAGCTTGCCTTTCCTGCGTGTTCTCCCCCTCCTCTCCATCAGCAGCAGAGGAAGACCTTGACATACCCCGTAGACGCTGCAGAGTGCGCATGCCGCCCGTTGAAACAGGAGCACCTGCGCCTCCTGCAGCTGCGCTGGAGGCGTGTCTACCCCCTTTGCCGTCAGACTGCTCCGTGAGGGCGGCCTGTCTCAGTAGAAAGGCACACGAACTCCTCTTCTTGCAGGTGCAGCATCCTTCTAGGGTGGGTAGTGCATGCAGCGACGCCTGCTGCCAGGATCGCTTGCTGTACGATGCCGCAGCAGCCAAGTCGCACCAGCAACTCACCGTCACCAGCAGCAGGAGCAGCAGGAGCTTAAGGATTCCACTTGTGTATGCGGATCGGCATGCTAGCGCAAACTCAGTGGCGTATGATTGGTGATCTTGCTTCAGCAAGCGCTGCTGCTGCTGTTGCCGCTGCCGGTGCTGCGGCGGACAGACACTCGAAGCCATCTTTTGTCGCAGACGGCGAGAGGGCGGGATCGAACGCACTCGTTCATCTATTATTGCGCCTCCCGGTTGCAGCAGCAGGGGCTGCTGTTTGGCTGTCTGCGGCTGCAAACAGCGGGTGCATCGGGCACGGGAAAGAAGCAGTTTATTGTTTTGCAGGGATGCTGCTTGCTTTTGCTCCTTCTTTTAAAGTTGCTGCAGTGTCTTGAGCGCTTCCAACGCCTTGAGCTGCCTGTGCTGCACAAGCAGCACAGGCAGCTCGAGAACGATGCTGGACTGTATGTTGCTGCCACCGTACTTGCTGTACTTCGAGTCTGTCGAGCCGAAGCCCTACATGGCGTGCCTCCGCAGCAGATCTGTCATTAAAAATCTCAAAAAGAGAAATGCGGCTGCGGGGTTATAGTGTTGTTCAGGAAGAATACCATGTTATTCCTCCTTCCTCTAGTGAAGGATCGATCTTCCAGCGGCAAACGTGCACTTGCGATAGGGCTGGCCGTTGCTGCTGCTGGTATTGGATACTAACGAAGCAGAGGCCCCTAACACAATGGCCAAGCAGTCGTGCGCTGGGCTTTATATGTGCCTAGGTTGCTGCTCCTGCTGCGCGATACCCTGGTGGGGTTGTTGGTGGTTCAGGCAAGGCGTGCCTGTGCTGCTACAAATGCAAGTGCTGCAGCACAAGTCAACCTTCTTCTGCTCTCGAGGAGCCTAAAGCCGAAGCTCTTCGGCCTACTAAGGCCAAAATTCAAGATTCTCTGAACAGCGTGGATACGATCCTGTGCCCGCCCCCCTGTGCAAGGTGAGCCTACACTAGCAGCTACTGCTACTACTGCTGCTGCTGCTGCTGCATGCAGCAGCATCGAGAGTATGAAGGCGGCAACCTATCTATGCAGTCCTTCGCATGTTTAAAGATGCGAGTCGTTGGAGATATTGTTTTTCCGGGTATTATGGTGTGATGTGTCTTTTTCTACTGCCGCAGCCGGAGGTGTGTGCTTGCGCCTTCCAGTTCTGCGCGATTGCTGCAGCGCCATAAGTTGCAGCAGCAGCAACGACAGATTAGAGGTAGTTTGTAAAAACTGCCGAAACGAGCTTCGCATGCAGAAGCATCTGGCCGTGGTGCCTGCCGCAGTGCTCTTCTTGGCTCTCGTTTGCCGGACAAACACCTACCGTTTCCCCTATCCACGGCTTACAAAGCAGCAGCGCTTACAGGCGCTTGAGCCAGCCAGCAAGATGCATTCAAGGAGTGCAGCAGCAGCACCAGCGGCTGCCGCGCACGCCGCTGCAGCCACAGACGGGGCCGCGCTGTTGGCGAATCGCTGTGGCGATCCAGCTGCAGCTCAAACGGCTGCAGCGGCTGCTGGAGAGGCTGCCGAAGGGGCAGCAACAAGAGCAGGGGATCTTTTAAGGCGTCATGCTTCCTGCAAGAGCTGGAGGCGCAACAAGGCGGAGGTCATAGAGCAGTGGATGGTGCGTTTTTATCCGCTGCCTCAGAGCTACGCTCGAGACTGCGCTCAGGCCTTTTCCATACATATATGTATATAAAGGCTTGCTTCCCAAGCACCCCTTTGTTTAATGTCGTGCGCCGATTACTGCGCAGCGGGAAAAGGGGCTGCCGTTCGTGCGACTGGACAAGACCGCCGCCGCAGCATGGGGGTTCCTGTAAGCTTGCCAGCAGCGTGCCGGCTGTGTTTTACTGCTTCGCTCGATTGTTGATTTTTATGGGGAAGGGTATTGTCAGTGGTTCGGCATGCGCCCCTGTGGCGTCGGTATACTGCGCTGCTGCACATACGTTTTTGCCTTTGCCGCACACAGCGTCTCGCCCTTGTGCGGTGTACGTACTGCTGCAGGGACTTCGAGAGCCCTGAGCAGCTGGCGCAGTTCGAGAGAGCCACAGAAAAGCTGCCTTTTAGAGGCAGCATCATTTACCTGCATGCGGCAAACGCTCGGGAAGAGCGCCAGCAAGAAACAGTGCAGCAAGAAGCATCCCACCAAGAAGGACTCCCCCGGCAGCCGCAAAAGAAGGCGATGCCACCGTTGAAGGAAGGGCACGTGCGAAAGCGATCGCGGGTTCATTCGGCAGCAGCAGCAGGAGGCTGTGATGATGAAGGAACTGCAGCAGCAAAGGCAGGAACAACAGAATGCGACTTCGGCCTGGAGCAGCACCGGCAGCTGCCAGCCCTCTTACAGCTTATTGATAACAAGCCGCATCTCACGGATGCTGCCTCTATTGAGCAGCGCGTCGCCCCTCTGCACGGGTACGAAGTGTTGGCTGCCGACGTTGGCACTGGCATCGGTGCTGCATGGGCATTCTCGGCTTTCCCGCAGCAAAAGCGTCAGCAAACGCTGCTGTTGCTGCTGCTCTTGCGCATGCAGCGCAGGCAGTGCCAGCGCGACTAAAGGCAGCCCGCTTGCGAGGCCTCGTTGTTGTTCGTGCTGCTGCTGCTGCGTGTTTTTGAAGGTACTCGTACTATGACCAGCTTCAAATGAAGCACACGTATCTCAAGGCAAGTCTAACTTCCTCTGCTGCCTCAAAGCCTTAAGAGGTTAGGCCGGCCCTGCTCTTTGAAGGCGTGCGGCATGCATTCAGACGCCTCTGCATCCGTCTTGACTCTTGCGATGGCTGTTGCTGGAGCGCGATCTTCAGACTTGCATAAGGAGGCTTACAAAGGAAGCACACCAGAGATACCTGCGGCTGTTACCCGCGGAGGAGCGCAACAAACAGCAGAGACTGCAGCAGGAGAGTAAAAGCAGCACCAACGCGAGCGACCAGCCGCAGCAGCAACAACACCAACTGCTGGTGTCTCTACCTTGGCATTCGCCGAGGGTTGCGAAGCGCTGGGTTGGCTGTGACGTGCGTGCACCGATATGTCCACGCCTTATGTGGCCTGTGCTAGTTTTTGCCTCTTTCTACCTCCTTTTCCTGCTTCAGTGCTGCTGCCGTCACCACCAACGCTGCTGCTGCTCTCTTGATTTTATTCGTGGGTAATGCGCATGCACCCCTTCTCGCCGTGCGGCAATCCTCAGGTGCTGCCTGCTCTGCCGGCCCCTGTTGAGGGGCGTGTCGGATACCGCAACAAGTGCGAGTTTACCATCGGCCTCACCCGCAAGCAGCAGGGGCAGCCCCTCGAGCTGCAAGCTGACGAGGAGGAGCAAACAACTCCCTGCGTCGGCTTCGTGTGTGGAGTGCAACGGATGCAGCCGCAAGTTGCGCCTCCTTCCGGGCTGCTGCTATTGAATCATGGCATGCAGGAGGCGGCGCGTGCCATGGAGGTGAGCAGGGAGCTCCCCCAGCGTAAACGCTGGAGGCCGTTGCTAGCCGTCCCTACCGAGCCGTATTCCACTTACACACCTGTACGAATTGCATTTCGCCCCTCTGAATTGCCGCAGAACTTCGTTAAAGCCTCCAAGCACGCAGTCTATGACCGTCGCACCCATCAAGGCAAGTCGCTTGTGGCGTGTCTTTCCGAGTTAGACCTTGTCTACGGCACGCCTGCTGCTGCTGTCTCCTCGCGCCGCGGGCGGCATAGCCCGTGCTGATTGGTGTTGCCTCATGTACTCCGCCTTGAGTTGCGGCTGCGGAAGGTCGTGTAGGAGAGGGGAAGGGAAGTTCCCTCGCGGCTCAGCGGGCTGAGTTTCAGACCTCCCCTCGCCGTGTGCCCCTCACGCTGCCAAGGGCCCCCCATCTGTCCCCTCAATAGCGCGCAGAGGACTGTCTCCCAGCCGAAGCAGCAGCTGCACGTCGTCACTTGCTGCTTTCTCGATGCCGCTCTCACGCCGCAGGTACTTGGCGCTTGCTCATGGTGAGGACATCCGCGTGGAGTCGATCGATGATGCTGGCTGTCCAGATACGACCTTTCGAGTCGGAGTCTCAAGAGTCGGCGCACGCGCGCAGCGAGCTGATTCAGTCGGTGGTGGCTGCTTTCGGGGGGCGTACCTTTGGGGACTACAAGGTCACCTCCATCTATCTGCAAGAAGTACGGCGATGACGGCTGCTGCAGGGAGTGCAGGAGGAGGTGTTGGCGCAGAGGCCGTGAAAGAGATGCAAGAGGGGAGAGGGGCGGTGATTGCCTGATGCGTGTTTGTTTTGGGGGCTTTTTCTCTCTCAGAATTCCGCCTTGTCGGACTCCGTCGAGGGGCATCCTATGGAGAAGGTGCGAGCAGTAGGGCCGCTACAAAAAGCGTCTCGTCTCGCCGTTAAAAGGAAAAAAAATTTTGCGCGCATCGGTGCCCGCTGCTGCGGCGGTCCTCATCCCTCCTTTTTCACCCGCGGGCAGTGGGGGGCGGCACACCTGCACGAAGTGTTAATCAGCAGTGGGAGCAGCAGATTCGCGAATTTTTCATGCTGCATAGGTTTTTCTCAGAAGAACCTCTAGTGCAGCAGCACCATCGCTGCGCTGCCATGAGGGTGCACCAGTGGTGTCTTGCTGGCTGAGTGGTGCATGCAGATCTATGGCAGCGACGTACTAGAACAGAGGCTCTTCGACCTCCACTTCCGGCTAGGCCCCTCCTCGTTTTTCCAGGTGGGCTGCGGTGCACGGAGACAATTCGCGCCCACTGCGGCGGCTATCTGCTGCCTCCACCGCTGTCTGAAAAGCTCAGACAAGGGAAATAGGGCAGCGGCAACAGCAAGGCTTTTCGATAGAGGAGCGCCCTGCGCCTTCGCGGCAGCGACAGCTGCTGCACCTGCCAAAGTCCTTTTGTCGGATATATGCGCTCAGACAAATACGCCGGCTTGCGAGACGATGTACAAAGCGGTGCTAGAAATGCTGCTGCCACTGCCGCCCTCTGGCCCGCTGCTGGACGTCTGCAGCGGGGCCGGCACGATTGCACTCTGCGCAGCAGCAGCCATCAAGCAGGCTGCAAACAGCAGCAGCAGCAGCAGGAGAGTCATTGGGATTGAGATGGTCGAAGCGGCTGTGATGGACGCAAGACGTAATGCTAGACTCAACGGGCTAGAGAAAGACGTTCACTTCATTGCCGGTATGTCGAATTGTACCTCCTGTTTCTTATTGCTCTTGCTGCTGCGGCGGCAGAGGCTTACACTTCGGCGACCTGTGTTTTCGCTGTAACCGTTTTAGGCAAGGCAGAAGACGTCCTGCCCGGCCTGTTGGAAGAATTCAGTGCGGAGACGTACATCTCGGCTGTTGTAGATCCTCCTCGCATGGGCCTCCGTAAGCTGTTTCTTATTCTCCTGATACTACTACTACTACTACTACTACTACTACTACTACTACTTCTACTATTACTATTCCTACTCCTAATACTATTACTATTGCTACTACTACTACTACTACTGCTGCTGCCTTGTCGCTTGCTGTTCGCTTGGCTGCGATCGCCAATTCCAACGACGTTTTTGCTGTGTCTTGACGGTTAAAGGTCATCTCGAGCAAGCCTTGCCGTGGCTGCCAGGCGACTCAAGAGCAAACGCCTCGCTGTTGCTTTTGGGGGGCTGCCGTAGCTGCAGGGGTGCACAGGCTGCGCACCATTACTGGAGATGCGGCATCTGTATGTCTGATCGTTTTTCTTTCGCAGATCCGCAGGTCCTGAAGGCGCTCAAGCAGTGCAAGCAGCTCGGTGCGTTATGCGTGACAGTTGAGGCTTCCGAGCAACACGTACAGCCAGTGTGGCAGAGGCAAGGGGAAAAGGGTCGCTCTTGTTGCGTTTTGTGTGTGGCGGTGAACGCAGAGAAGCTGGTGTATGTCTCGTGCAACTGCAAGACTCTCGCAGAGAATGTGCTGGAGTAAGTCTTCCGACTCGGGCCTATCTATGATGCGTCTGCTTGCGGCCGAGGACCTGTGTGTGGCATGTGCTTATTTTTTACCGAGTGCATGCGCATGCAAAAAGCAAAGCCGCTTGCCAAGTGTGGCTATCCACCGCTCCGCCTACGCAGACGTGCCTGCTAGTCCAGGGCCTTCCCTCTATCTGTTGCCGCGCTTGCAGGAACCTATCTGAGAGGGCAAACCTAGTGCTGCGCATAGGCATGTTTAGCGTTGCTTGCTGCCATTTCTTACAGCACTTGTGGCAGATGTGTTTTCTCTGTCACACGCGCCGCCTCCTGAGTGCCCTTCCCCCTCCCCCTTTTTTCTTCTCCCTTCACAGGCTCTCCTCTGAGGAGTCCGATGACCCTTTTGTTCCCATCGCGGCGCTCCCTGTCGACATGTTCCCCCACACCCTGCACTGCGAGGCCGTGCTCTTATTGGCGAGGAGGAGCAGGGCTGCTGCCACGGCAGCTGAATACCACAGCACCAAGCGCGACAAGCTCCTGAAACTCACAGCAGTCGAGCCAGCACTAGCCACGGGAGAGCCTTTTACGCCGTCGGATGACGAAGAAGACGAGGAAACAACTCACCAGGGCATGGAGGCAGCCGCAGGCTGCACCCGTGAGAACGGCGACGGCAGCGGCCCCTCCACAAATAAACATGCGCACCCGCAGCACCTCCCCCCAGCAGCAAGTAGTACCACTCCCATCTGGCAAGGAGCTAATCCGCTCCTCGACTAGCTGGCTAGCCTGCATACTAGGCGTCTGCCTCGCAAAAGGCACTGCCTGTCCAGCTTGTTTGCTGGCTGGCTAGCCAGCCAAATAGCCAGAGGCCGGCCACTAACGTGGCTCGGTCGGCACCCCACTACCTACGTAGTGTGTGACATTTCGCCCGTACGGCATTGGCTGCCATCCAGTGGATCGCCCCTCTAAAAACGCCACTCTCTTTTGGCCAGCGAAATAGCTAAACATGGTCAGGGCGAAGGGGACGGATTGCCTATTCCCGAAAGAGAGCGAGTGCTGCCTCGCTAGGTAGATAGATATCGCCTTGCGAGCTAGATAGACAATCCTCGCTAGGTAGATAGATATCGCCTCGCGAGCTAGATAGACAGTGCCTCGCGAGCTAGATCGAGATCGCCTCGCGAGCTAGATAGACAGTGCCTCGCGAGCTAGATAGACAGTGCCTCGCGAGCTAGATAGAGATCGCCTCGCGGGCTAGATAGACAGTGCCTCGCGAGCTAGATAGAGATCGCCTCGCGAGCTAGATAGAGAGTGCCTCGCTAGCTAGATAGAGATCGCCTCGCGAGCTAGATAGACAGAGCCTCGCTAGCTAGATAGAGATCGGCTCGCGAGTCAGCTAGATAGAGATCGCCTCACGAGCTAGATAGAGATCGGCTCGCGAGTCAGCTAGATAGAGATCGCCTCACGAGCTAGATAGACAGTGCCTCGCTAGCTGTGCCGCCCAGGTTACATGCCGGGACCTTAAAAGGTATCCTCCGCGAAACCAACTCCCCTAGCCTCGCTCACAGAGTAGAAAAGCACTTTCCGATAAGCAGCCTGAAGTGCAGCAGCAGGTCTTACCGAGGGAAATTTTCGCTGCCGACAGTCACTTTCAAAGCCCGCTCGCAGCCGTGCACAAGGGTGCGGCCGCAGTAGGCTGGGATTGCAGCATCCGAGTCACCCCTGTATTGCTCGGCTGTGGTTGCAAAGAATCCCCAGACTGCAGGCCTGCATGAGAGAGAGGGGCAGTTGCTGTTAGCCCAAAGGGTTTACGAGGGGACTTGCATCCCGCGCCTAATGCGCAAGCAGCAGCTGCTGTTGCTCCTGCTGCTCTTGTAGCTGTCGCATCTCCTGCATTTCGATGCCGATTGCTACGTCCTTTTCGGAAAGGCGTCCTTCCCGAGGCGCTTCCCCCCCAGCAGACTGCACTCGGAACACGATGGCTTCGCCCTCCGCACGGCGGCAAAGGCAGGTTGCAATAGCGCCACAGAGGCAGAAGCTGCTGAGCAGTGCCACCCAATATCCAGCTACAGATGCGCAACGCACCGCACGTAACAGCAAGAAAAGTACATTTTTGCGAGACGATCACGTGCGCCGCCGTTTTCGCCCCCTGCCGCAGGCAGCTGCGGAGCTGCTGCTGCAGCCAAATGATAAGCAGTGGCTAAGCGCCGGAGAAAGCGCATGCAACAGTATCAACAGCAGTACGTACAGCGGGTGGGAAAGCCTGAGATCACGAGGCACGCAAAGAAATGGAGGAACCCCAAGGAGAAGCAGAAGTCGGGAATCTTGCGAGAACGCTGGACTACCCGATAGACGCAAAAAGACCTGAAAAGCAGCCGCTCCACACGCAGCAACGCAGCTTTTTTTAAATCATCTGGACAGACACCAAAAAAGCGCAGCTCTAGAGGCGGCAAAACCGCTGCTCGCACTAGTGGCAACGGCGGCACGCACAGCAGGGCGCCAGTCAGCAGAAGCGCAGCATCGAGCGCTGCTCCCGTCTCGGGAAGAGTTTCCGAACTGCCGCTGCTGAAGAGGAAGAGCACTTGACGGCCCTGGAGTGGCTGCGGTGTTACTGTCGGTGCAAGATCCTCTTTGCGCCGAGGAAGCGCGACTTCCGGCTGTTGAACTTGCTCTTGCTTGTCCGGAACTAGCAAATCTGACTGGGGTTCGGTTTGCCGAGGCAGCTGGCGGTTCTGTAGCACCGTGAGCGCTCCGAAGGACGCGCCACTGAGCAGCACGTAGAAAGAGCTCAAGAGCAGCAACAACTGTGAGAACAGCATCACGGGGTCGAACTTGTCGCCTCCATAGAGGGTGCCTTGCAGCAGTTGGGGAGGGCCTCTTCTTCTGCCGCCGCCGCAGCCGCTGTCGGTCCCCTGAGAGCGCTGCATCTCGCCGGCAGCCTGTTAAGGCTGCAAGCTACCGCACACTCCTGCCTCAGTCTTCTTCTGCCCCCGTCCAGTGCAGCACACACACGAACGCTGCAACCTGGCTAACCTTGGAAGGAGGTGAGAAGGTGGCGGCGTTTTGGCTATCCATTAAAGCCCCTGTCTTAGCGCCGTGTGGCGATTGGCTCGAAGCTCTGGCCGCCCCAGCTGCTGCCGCTAGCTCGCACACCTTCTCCGTGTTGAGGCGTAAAGGTTCTGCACGCTCGATCCCCGCAGAAAGAGCGCTGACGGGCTCACGAAGGTAGGGAGGGGGGCCCTCTTGCAGACTCCCTGGCAGCCCAGCTTGGCGCAGCGCCAGGAGGTATACGCGATGGGATGGATACCGGAAGACGAAAGCGTATTAAAGGTTTAAAAAAGACCATCGGCTACCTTTAAAACGCATGCTGGTGTGTGGGTGACAACGTCCTCGCGTTTTACAACTGCCGCACTCAATGGCGTACACCTCGCGCTGGGGCTGCGCCACTCTTGCATGCATGGCGGTGCTGTATCGAAAAGGGGGCCTCCCTCCTCGAAACGCATGTATGTATATTCCTTTTCTTTTGCCTCCTTCTTAGTGCCTTTGGCTACGTTTTGCGTTTTTGTACCTTGTCTTTGCTGGCGGTGGGTGGTGGTGGAGCGAAGGCGCCCCTTTGGCGTCCGCTTGTGGACCTCACTTGAATATCTCCCTCGCGCTCCCGCTCACGAGGAATCAGCAGGCCCTGCAGCCTCTTGCACTGACTGTATGTACACTGCAGCAGCAGCGGTCGCGGCGTCTGCGCGCGTCAGGAGCCCTGGTGGCTGTCTGCGTGGTTTTAGCCGCCCTCAGCAGGAGCAGCACAAACACCACTAGAAGGATGGGAGATTGCGAACTGTTACGACGCGCCTGTCCACGTTCCTTCATAGCTCCATTTTTGCAGCGGCGTGTACGGCCGGATGGCCGGAGGCCCTCAGAAGTTCGCAGCGCTGAGATCGTTGCAGGGGGCCCCTATGAAGGGGCGAGGCAATCAGAGGGTTGCCCAGGCAGCGCCCCCCCGCGCCCTCCGCTGGCTGCAGCACATGCGTCCTCGTCAGTGAGAGCCGGTGCAGACTGGTGGTTCGCAGCAGTTGAGTGCAAGTTGGGCCCTCCTGTGCCGCTTCCTCCTCGCAATGGCAGTCCTCACGGAGAGTGTGGCAGTGGGGGCAGAGTTGTCGTGGTTGTAGACATGCCGCGCATCTGTGGCTGTTCCCAAGACGACACAGTGGGGACCTCCAGAGAGGTGTCTAGACACCTCACGGCTCTGCTAAATGACCCTTCGGTCTTCGACTGCGGACAGCTGCAATTCCCGGGCCATCCGGCTGCGGCCGTCGAGGCGGATCCCGGATGCGGAGACAACCATAACAACAGTAGCAGCAGTATCAAGTTTTACTGGCACTTGGAGGTGCGAGTAGTGTGCCTGCAGTTCGGAGGCAGCCTCTTCAGAGCTCCCACCCTTGCGGCCGTTGCCGCTTTGGGGGCCCTGAGGATCCCGGATGTCGAATGGGATCCACAGAAAAAGTGGTGGTCGCTTCTTCCCCCGTCTTCCGATTTGCGTGAAGACCAAACAGGGGAGGGCGGCGAGTTGGTGGTGGTCAGGGGACATAAGGTTGTGCTGCATGCCCTGCCCGTTTGTGTGACGGCGTGCCAGGTTCTGCATAACACTTGGGTTATAGATCCAACTCAGGAGGAGAGGCAGTTGGGGCCGCTGGTAGGCCTTGTCTCTCCGGCACAAGGGGCCCCTCTCTCAGTGCACAAACTGCAGGGAGGCCCCCTAGATGCCCTCCTCCTGCAGCAACTGCAACTGGCTGCTGCGTCGGCTATCGATGAGACGAGAAATCAGCTCGCCAAAGCCATTTTAGGCTGACTATGTATAACCGCTTTAAAGTGCACTTGAAAGCAGTGACGGGGGATGGGAGAGGACGGGTGGATAGCGTGGGGGAGGGGAGATGAGAGGAGGGGAAGAGGACATCCGGTTGTTTGCGAATTAAGCTGTCCCCCGCGGTTCAGGCACTTTGTAGATGCAGGAGAGAGACACGAGGCGCCATGAGAAATAGAGCGGCAACACACTAGCAGAGGCTGCAGTCGAGGAATACAGAGGACCAGATTTCTACACATCCTCTTAGGGGGGTGGCAAATATGAAGGGAGAGATCTCCAGAGTGCCCAGCACAGAGTCACACATAGAGGGCCCCCATGAAAGACACGTAGGCGTATCCCGCCAGTAAAATCTGCTCGAACGACACCTGGGGCTGCTCCGCAGAGAAACGTTTAACTGAGCGGCAGTGACACCCCGAGCGCCGTGCGCTTTCCTCATTGTAAAGCGGGCAGGAGGGGCAAGGGCGAGAGAGCACACGGCAGGGCGGTGCTGTGCGGCTGCACGCCTGCCGGTGTGGGTGGGTGGGTATATGAATGAGCCTTTCCTTCGCACACAGCTCTCTCTTTGTGCAGCATGTGTTGAAGCGTATCTCGCTCGTGTGGCCGCTTCCCGGACGCCTGCCCCGCGCACGGTGCGCGGGAAGGTGTCTCAGTTGTGCCCGCTTTCCATGGAGAGGATTGTCATCTCGAGAACGTATGCATCTTTCTGTCGGATGAAGCTTTCCCTGATTTTTGGAGGCCAATCTCCCGCGGCAACCGTCTGTGCAGTGCAAGGGACGGAAAACAGCCCGAAGGCGAAGGGCTTATGCCACAGCCGAGTAAACATACTGCTGGCGGAAGCAGCAGGAGCCCGGAGTTGAAAAAACACTCTATTTCTATCCTCGCAGTCTCGCTTAATACTCTCTTTTAAGGCGCTGTCGGCAGCCTCCAGCGGAAGGTTGATACCCACGTACAGGCAGACCTTGTCTGTGCCCCTCCGAAGCCCAGGAATGAAGGGTACAGAGTTTAGAATTAGTTGGGTAGGGCCGACTGCGGGATGCGACTGTGCTTTATTGGCGTCATACTGCAAGAGCTGCTGAAGCCGCTTGTCAGCACGGAAAAGCACCACGTGTACGAGGCGCGAAGCTGATGCAGGGTCACCTTGCGTTCCGCTGGAGTCATCCGTATCCCCGTCCTGCACGCCTGTCTCGACTCCAGCTCTTTTAATCAGGGAGGCGTTTTGGCGGCCTCGTCGCACGAGGTCTCCCGCAGCAGTGGGGGAGGGGTATTGCTCGCTGGGCTGGAGAGACAGCTCCGTAGAGAAGGCGCCTGTCTCGGAATAACAGTTATCCGCAGTGGGCATCACTCCCGCAGGCAGATACAGCAGCTCAAGGAAGAGCCCCAGCGACTCGATAAAAGCACCTGAAGCGCAGAGGGCCACCCCGGAGCGAATGGAAACTCAGAAGCTACTCCTAAAGAGAGGTGGCGTGTTAAGGGCAGTGGTGGTGGCAGGCACAAAAAAGGCTACTGCGGAAGAGGCCACGAACGCACATCCAAGGGCGAGGAGAGTGCAAGCTGGTGTTCGATGACGCACTCTTGTTGCTCAGTGCAAGGGTCACGACAAACTGCGCCCTAAATACCGCAGTTGTGCTGGTAGGGGTGGTGGATGCTCCCCCCGAGGCGTCGAGCGACAGAAACTCGGCGAAGGGCTCCTTCTCGAAGGCCGTAACGGAAACCAGGAACATGCCTGGGGTGAGTGTGGACCGTGTCATGACAGCGCCGACAATGACTCCCGCAGAGACCGCAAAGGCGCACAACGCCACGATCGTCAAGAGCTGAATGCAAACCTCTATCAGACGCTCTGAGAGGCACAAAGGGCACAGATAGCGCAGGAGGGCACAAGGTGGGTAAGAAACGCCGCAGGATGAGGGATGCGTAGACGAGAGAGAGAGAGAGAACAGAGAGTGAGTGAGAGAGAGAGAGAGAGAGCGAGAGAAAGAGAGCGAAAGAGCGAGAGAGAGGGAGAGAGAGGGAGGAATGGGAGAGAGACACACAGAAAACCCGATGCACATAGGACCCCCGAGAGTCTTGCTCAGTCATAAACAACAAACACCCACCTGTGGTCCCTCTGGGGCGCTTGTGACCTCTACCCCGCGCCACAACCTCCTCGCGGACGTTCTGGTTGTTGTTTGTTGTGTGGTGTTGTTAGTTGTTTGGTGTTGTGTCTTTTTCATTAGT